ATGAAGCTCGTGAGGGACGGTCTCGATCGACTACTCTATGTTTGCGACGCGGCAAAAAAAAAAAAAAAAAAAAAAAAAACTATTCCTGAGTCCATGACACTGCAACAAACGCCAGAAATCCAAGCTTGATGAAACTTTCCGATCAAAAATACAAGTCTTGTTATCTGTTGTAGACATAATTGAGTTGATGAGGCAATATAAACTTTCTCAAACGCTGATGCAGCTCCATGTTCTGACTTCTGAAGAGGGAGAGCCCTGGGAACACTTGCTTTCAATGCGAACAAGCATCGACTTTCATGAAAAAAAAACATTCCTCTCCCAGAAATCGATAAAGACTTGGCTTCTATGTGTCGTTGCAAATTCAATTTGAAGTCGTCTTAAAGTTGAGCAAGTTTTCTGTTTTGGAACTCGATCATCCCTATAAGCTCCGGATGGCTGCACCTTATCTAGCGGGGACTTCACTGAAGTGGGGCTAATCCTTGGGCCGATGGTATAATACCTAAGCCAAGTGAGTTGCTATGAGAGTAAAGACTCAGATCGTAATACCAAGTGCTCGAATAGGAAAGAAAAGGGGTCGGCCTAAGAAATTTAATGATTGCAGTTCTGATACTCAATTCCCGATGAATGAAAGACTTCTAGCCATTTGGAAGCCATCTGATTCCTTTCACAAATGTTCAGCGCAAGTTAGAAAATTTCAAGTGAAGACATGTTCTGATGAGCAAAATTACTAGTGAGGTAATGATATGAGTTCACGTCAGATAGAATATTGGTCGAAACTTCCCATAGGGGCAAATGATGATAACCGAGGCTCCTTCACGTTTCTCAATTGAGTATTGAAAGTTGAGATATATCCGTACATAGCCAGGTTATTACATGCACTGACTGCACGTGGGCAGCTGCCACTGCGCTTGAATTCGGAGAGAGCCGGCGACAAACACTTGGGCCATCAAGGTAGAATCATTTAGAAAGTGATTGGTGCGGAATTAAACGATCCATGAACAGATATAGTAAAGAGCTTGCTGATCTGGGGACGTTTGCGGGAGCTAGATAGACGATTCGACAACGGTCGATATCTCGCACAAACGTAATCTCTTGACGCCATCTATCAAATGGTACATAATTAATCTTTTCGAGAAGGTGAAGAGACACAAAAAGACCAGAATGACGCCGTGACTTGGCGCTGCATGGTGGTGATGCCGGTACAATCTGCGGGAGTGTTACAACGGTGCGCTTGGCAAGACTGCGGAAGGCGCCAGATACGATGCGCCAAGAAGCTTACAACGCCTCCTTTAAGGGTGTTTGCCCGTATGGCAGTGCCTGTTGCCAAGTCCGGGCGGGTATGTAAGTAAATTTGCGGCGAAGGATGGTGGACTGCCGGGCCGGGGCATCGGGGCCGCTGATTCGTGCGTCCAAGTACCGTGCGGGCCTGGTCCGGTAGACACCTGCTTCTTTGGGCAGTAGTGCTCCGCATCGCGACATTGAAGCTCGTTGCTCCCACCTTCCAACCGCTGTTTCTTGACCTTCTGTTTCTAGCAGGACAAAGAACAATAATCATGTTTTTGACTCGTAAAGCGGTGGAGAGATACCGCGAAGCCCGACAAAAGAATTGAGGGGAAGGAGAACGCCAAGTTGTGATGGGAGGAAGATAAAAGAATCGCGTCGTCGCCCGTTCGATCAGCAGAAGATCTTGCTCTGCACCTCTCCGCTCTCTAGGTTGTGAAGTGATCATCGTGGTTCAACCGTCAATCACCCCTGCCTAAGACAACTCCCAGGACCCCTCCTGAACCACTCAAGATGAAGGCAATTACCTTGGCAACCTTGGCCGTGTCGGCGCTCCTCTCTGGAGCTTCGGCCAAGGAGATCGCACCTAGTGAACTCGTCTCTGAGATTTACGACAGCGGTGTCATTCACAAGGACCTCATGGCCCGTAAGAAGGTATTTGACACCGGTGGCTTTGCTTACAGCACTTGATCTAACCTTCGCAACTCATAGGCGTCATGGGATCGCCAAAGAGAGGCCGGAGAGATGGAGTCGACCAAGTACACGAGCCGCCTCGCGGAGGAGGGCCCCGTTTCTTGCGTAAACGGTGTTGCCGAGGTCATCCCTGGCGATGCCAACAACACTTTCAAGTGCAACAAGGTCGACTTCTACGACTTCAAGAGCCACTCCGACCTTGGCTCTACCGCCGGCGAGGGATCCTCTTCTTGGGGTTGGACCAGCCCTGACGGTCGCGAGTTTGCCATTATCGCTCAGGCTGATGGTGCCGCATTTGCTGAGATCACCTCTGCGGGCAAGCTCGTCTACCTCGGTCGCCTCCCGCAGTACTCTACCCAGTCTATCTGGCGTGAGCTCCGCGGATACAAGAACTACGTCGTCATCGGCAGTGAGGCCTCCCGCCATGGTGTCCAGATCTTCGATCTGACCAAGGTAAGCTCATCAACATCATCGTGCCTCATGTGTCTAGAATACTAACCGTTGGGGAAAGCTGTTGGACATTGACCCCGCCAGCCCGGTCACCTTCAGCAACTCCCGTGACCTTACCGGTTACTGGAACGGCCTTCCCGCCGGTTCCACCCACAACATCGTCATCAACGAGGAGAAGCAGTACGCCGTCGCTGTCGGCGCCCAGCCCCGTTCCAGCGCCTGCCGCTCCGGTCTGATCTTCATTGACCTCAGCGACCCCGCCAACCCTACCTCCCCCGGTTGTGCCGCTGGTGACGGTTACGTCCACGATGCTCAGTGCCTCGTCTACCGTGGCCCTGACGAGAAGTACTTTGGCCGTGATATCTGCTATGGTTACAACGAGGACACTTTGACCATCTACGATGTCACCAACAAGAATGAGACCAACATCATTTCTCGCACCTCTTACGAGGGTGCTAGCTGTACGTCGACTTGCTTTGTCCCTCATTGAAATAATGAACTAAGACTGATTGTACATATAGACACCCACCAGGGTTGGGTCACCAACACCGAGTGGCAGGAGTACCTCGTCCTCGACGACGAGTACGATGAGGTTGATGCTACCGGTCCTGCTGCTAGCGGTTACCCCATCACCTACTTCTGGGATATCAGATCTCTTGAGGCTCCTAAGCAGACTGGCTACTACCGCAGCGAGGCTTACGGCATTGACCACAACCAGTTCGTCATCGACGGCCTTGCCTTCCAGAGCCACTACGGTGCCGGTCTCCGCATTCTCGACGTCTCCTCTCTCCCTGATGACCCCACCGGAGGCGGCGTTTCCGAGGTTGGATTCTTCGACATCTACCCCGAGAACGACAACGAACCCCTTGGCGGATCCATTGACTTCGTCGGCACCTGGTCTCACTACCCTTACTTCAAGAGTGGCCACATTCTGATCAACACGATCGAGCGTGGCGCTTTCGTCGTGAAGCGCTCTGCTTGAAGGATTCAAGTCTGAGATTGGAATATACCTGCGTGTTTCCATGGTTGTCAGAAGGTCATCTCTATAGCAGTCCGCTGATTGAAGATGTATGAGTAGGACAACTCAGCTTTAATGATAATGATGGAATAACCTCGAGGCAATGACATACATCTCTGAATTCGAGCAAGTGAAACTACAATACCAGCGTCTCTCAGGTTCTTAACTCATAGCCGAGTTATTACAGTGAAGTATCCAGTCACTAATTGTGGACACTGAGCAGCATTATCTCGCTAAGGGACCTGAACAGGAGACATTGCACTTTGAAGTAAAGAAATTTTGTTCTTGGCCACAATCGATACCTGCGCGTTTGAAATCATATTCTTCATTCATGAATTGTCAATGACGCCATGTTTTGAAATAAGATCTATATTATAGAACATGTTGTATCATTAAGCATTTGGCGCAATAACGCCTATATTCTCTCCGAAACCTTGTTTTAATGAAAGGTCACCTGACCTTGTGATGCGTGAAGGTCTCAACAAGAAGGACACTCTCATTCTTGTTATGACTCTATTGCCCACACCGGTATACTCAATTCACTACCATACGAAATGGATTATTGTAAAGAGGGGCTCATAATTGGGAATCACTAACTTCAGTCTCTCTTCGGCCGGCCAAAAGGCCCGAGAGCCGCTATTCAGTCTTAGTCTGATGTGACCGTAGCAACACTGCCTTTTAGAGTTGCGACTACGAAACGCCACGAGTCATCAGTCAGCGCCAGATCAACGTCTGCGCGACCAGAGCGTTCCCCAACAGCACCTCTTTGGGTCTAGTTGACATTACGGACAAGCGTTTTCTCGGCCCCGACGCGCTCGACACTTCAATTTCGGCATTTCGAAGTCTCATCTAAGAATGCTAAACTTCATGTCTCCCCCAAACCTACTGTAGGGAAACGCGCCTGCATGTGGCTGAATGAGACGACAGCTTGAAGTCCCGCCAACTTTATGTACCCAAAGCCTGCCGACGACATTCACGCATCTCCCATGGGCGACCGCTCAACAAAAGCCTCGCCTCGATAGATGATCACTGTTCGACATATGCGTCGGCGGACGGACGCGCGCCCTTAAGCATGGCGATCGGTCAACTGGACAGCATCCTGAGACGCGATGACAAATTCCTGAAGGAGATGTGGACTTGGTTCGGTGTTGGAGCTCTCGTCATATTGTTGCGGTTTTTCGTGAGAATCCGCATGGTTGGCCCCAGAGGTCTCAAGGGAGACGACTACACAATGCTTGTTGTAAGCCGGAAATGAGCATGCATTAGTCAATGACGTGACGTTACGCTAATATTTCATCTGGATAGACTTTGTTCTTATACACGGTCTGTTTTGTGATGGTCGACTTAGTGTGTGAGTGTCACTTCTGATAATGAGCATTCAAGAGATGAATAGGATTTGGCGGTACTGATATGTGTAAACCTAGACCGATATGGCACGAACGTGGATCTCACCGCTGCCCAAATCAGCACTCTTTCCGATGAAGAAGTGGCACGACTTGTACAAGGTTCCAAGTTCCAACAAGTAGCTTGGTATTCATACACCGCATACTTGTGGTCTATGAAAGCGACCCTGTTATTCTTCTAGTATTTCGCACTCCTGGTCCTTCCGGAAAACAGAGACTGACAGTTCTGAAGTAAGCGAATGACGTTTGATTTGTGGCAGAGTGCGAGAGTTCTGAAACACCTGGCCTGGTTTACGATTTTATCATACCTGGTTGTGGTTGGAACGATAAGCTTTAGCTGCATGCCGTGAGTGATGGACTCTCAAGTTCCACTGGAAATTTGGGCTAATGGCATCGCACAGGTTTTCAGATAATTGGGGAGTGAGGCCCCTACCAAGTGAGAAGTGTGTTTTCAAAGCCCAAAATTTACTGGTCTCGACATTTCTCAGTAAGTCTAATAGAGAGTCTAGTTGGATAACTCAGTGTTCCAAGCTGACCAGAGACAAGATGTTGTGACCGATGCAGCCATTCTTTGTCTGCCGCTGCCGGTTCTGAAGGAAATCAGGGTACCTTTCTACAAGAAGATATTCATAGCAGTACTAATATGCTCCGGTTTATTCGTCATCGCGGCCGCGATCATGCGAGTTGCGGTAACTTTGGGATCAGAACCTTCAACAATTACGGTAAACCGATGGGGAGTCCGAGAATGCGAAGTTGGTCTGATTGCTGTCAACGCACCCATTCTACGTCCTTTATTCTCCCGGAGGTTTTGGCAGTGGCATTACCGACCGCCGGCTCGCCCGTCAAATCCTATGGAAAGTGCAAGAAGGAGTCGAACAACAGTTGGCGGCCACAGACGGAGAGTCATTAAAGAAGACTCACTTCTTGGGTGGGTGAATTCTACTACATCAAGAATAGGAACCATTGTGGGAGGGACTCTCGATCATGGGAACGCAGGGGACGTGGAATTAGGGGATGCGGCCAGTGAACAAGAGTTGGAGCCTCTTGACAAGGGTGAGGATAATGAGAGCCAGACTTCCCATATCCCCGCCAATGACGAGACAGCGAGAGATGATTGAGTTTACACGAACACATCGGCTTCGACTCAAGACGATCACTTGAAGAGGAAAGCAGCACATTCAGGATTTATTTGGTGTTAATGAAAAGCAAGTCTTAAAAGAATACCCAGCGGTGTAGTAGCACAATAGAGTTGGTGGCTTACACTTGTGTAACTAAGGTCATTCGGGTTCATGCCAAATCCACCATAGCTCAACAAAGTCAGAAAGGAGAACAGGAAGCCGAAACGCCGCCTTGCAAAACCAAACTTCAGGCCCTCAACCTAGCACAAGCTCACAGCAATTTTGCAGAATGCGGTCAGGGAAACCCGACCAGCCAATTACTCGAGTCCATCCGAGTCTCACTTGCCCATTCACTGCAGCAAACATCTTACTCTCTGTCTCCCTGTCTTAGCTCCATTATCGATTCTCCGGGCCGTCCACAATATTCATCATCGCTTTTCTCGGGACATTTACTCAGTCAGTCTGACCAGTATACTTGGCTTTCAGTCAGTCTCAGGTCTCGTAACGTCAAGAAAGCATCCGGAAATTCAGAGACTCCAGTCTTACAATACTGACATGGTTGTTGTTCACTTTATAATGCTCTTCCTTATCTTGATCAGCCTCTCGATACCGCATTCGCAAGCTCGGACAGCTACGGGTAGCCAGCTGAATTTCACAAAAAACACTTGGGGCTCTCGGGAAGCTCTTCAGTGACGACCGATACGGGAGTTAATTGACTACGCTCGACACCCTCTTGAGAGGCATTCTCGGGTTCAGTTTTCGTGGCGGGATGGTGCAAAGGCCACAAGAGGATTCTGCTTGGATAGACTGGACCTAGGAGCCGAAGCTGCTCATCTAGGTCAGTTGCTTGGGTCTCACTCACAGCAGTCATGACTTCGTGAAGGAAGTCATCCTCATAATACGCGAAGTCGTTCTCGGCCTGCACAATCGGGTAGATCAGAGCATCGATGCCGGCATTGACGCGAGCGTTGACGTCTTGAGCACGAAGCGGACAAGGGGTATCGGCTTCGTCATTGCTACTGGCATTAACGTCTCGAACACGACAGGAACGAGGAGCACCAAACTCGTTATGGCTGGTAGCATCCTGGCCACCGCTGACAGTCTCCGAATTTTCCAGCCAGCCAAGCACAACGCCTCGGTTTAACAAGGGGTCTTGCGGCTGGGCAAGCACCCTGTGTGGTGGTACGGGAGGCGGCGCATTTGCGATGGGGCCGAGCAAGAAGTCAATGGAATCTTCTTCGTCCCACTGAGAAACGCCAGCAGCGCTAGTGGGAGCCTCAATGACCGTAGCGACATCATCAGTGTCGAGATCGATCACGTCAGAAAGCTCGTGCTCGAGGTAAGCGATCGAATTCGGCGAAGGAAAGAAGAGCTGACGAGGCTCGACAATGGGTAGGAAGGGAACTACAGGAGTGCCAAATGCGCTCTCGTCGAAGAGAGGACCGAGAGATGGAGGCGAGTCCGGTCGCAATCTGGTTTGTTGTCTTCTGGTATACTCGGTGTCTCTGGGCTCAGTCGGCTTTTTGTTACCTCGAGCACGCAGTGGAGATGGGCGCTTGAATTTGCGGCTAGCATCAGCCTTGGATCGCTTGATGATGCTCAGAGGCGCGGGGACCATAGATGGGACAACAAAGCCGTTGTGCTTTGTTAAAGGAAGGGCCATAGGCAAAGTCGGTTGATTGGAAGGTCCATTTCCGCGGTTGTTGACTTCCTCATTTATGGTGAACAATGGCTTTGCCTCAGCGTTGGGGTGTATAGGTTGGCTTCCGTGAATGATTGGCTTGCTCTTCGCCGGGATTTGCAGTGGCAGAGGCTCTTGAGATGCAAGGAAAAAGTCCCTTTCACAGTAGTCCCAAGCAAGTCCCTCCCGACAGTGTCCAGGCTTAAGGCTAGACAGTAACTCGTCAATATCTCCAATTACTTCCGTGATGAGCTCAGGCCTCTGATGCTCTTCCCGCGCTTCAGAACAGACCGATGAGACACTGAAGGACCCGGAATGGCTGCAAAAGAGCTCTCCGGGAACACGAGATGGAATTGGGTGGTGGATGTTATCGACATCCCTGACAACTGTGATGACCGAGGTGTTGTCGTAATCTCCGTAGGAAATTCCCGAGGTCTGCTGTGGGACGTCAAGCTTGTATTCTGGTTGAGAACCAATAGAAAGTTGGAAGAGTCTTGTAGGCTTGAGCAAGGCATCTGCGGTCCTGTTGCGGCTTCTATGGCCGAAAAGGGGACGAGAGGGTCGAGAGGGAAGGTTTTCAAGAGGACTCAAGGGACTTTTAGAGGCCCATTCTGCTTGTATTCCATAAGTATCAAGCCTTGTCGCAGTAGAAAAAAAGGAAAGCAAACCTGGGCTTGGGGATCTCCGTCGCGATTCCTCAACGCTTGAGGTATCCGAGAGACCAGTCTCAGAGAGCTCAGACAATCTCTAATTGCCTTCAGCGTCTAGGAACTGATTGAAAGAGGTTTATTCCGGGAACACATTGCTAGCATTCGCGAGATGCCGAGTTCTGGGCACGTTTTCGTTGCACTCTGCAACAAAGCGAGTGTCTACGGCGCTGTTGACATCAATGGCCTTTGCCATTTGCGAGAAATTTGCCACCGTGAAGCTGGCATAGATCGAAGGCCGACGCAAAGGCCCTATTGTAATTACTTGACGCGTAGAAGTAATTGATCGAGACGCGTTGGAGAAGAGATGACTGCTGTTGACCAAAAGCTGGCCGTAGTCCCATTGATAGGAGCTTGAGTCTTCGCACATTTTTGGCGTTGGGTGAGGGTTCCTGAACAACAACGCAAGGACTTGCTGAACAACATCACTAAGTGGCATCTTCAATGACTTGTATCACTGAAAGCCATCAAGGTCAGTCAGGAGAAGACATAGTGATCCTCATTTGCTTAGGATCTGACGAATACGCAGCCAATAAAGCTGGTGGTAGATGCCAAGTTGTGAGAAGATGCTTACCTGACTATATCTTAGCAGTATGGGCTTCACGATCATTGATGAGTTGATGATATCTTCCCGCTCGACTCTGGAGAGAAAAGAGACCGGCGTAATAGAATGGGATGCGGCAAGTGGGTAGCCAAGTGAATGCAAGAGCCATCAATCCAGAATGGAAGAAGAGTTGTTTAGTCACGAATGTGGTCAAGCCAGGTTGATTTCCTTGCCACGGCGGGAAAAGTTCTGCGAAGGGCAAAGGATCTGCGGAATGTTGCGCAAAGTCGCGGAAATTCGCGGAAAGTCTTGCGGTGATGAGGAAGAAAAAGGGAGGTCAATACGGCGAGGAGTGAAAGGAAGTTTAGGTAGTCGAAGGGCCGTCCGAAGGGCGGTAGGTCGTCCCATGTTGATGCGGCGAGGTATCTCGAAGCATCAGTCACTGGACCAGTCCCGAGGACCCACTACGAAGCTTCACCTGGCCATCTAAATTACCCAAAGAAGACTCATCTTAGACTTCACCTTTCCGAAAGGGGAAATCGTCACTCGACGGACCTTTCGTTTGGCCTCAGGATTTTGGTAGATCTCTCCCGTTGTGAATTCAGCACTCGGTAACACCTGGAGCTCACACCTACTGTCAGCTTCACAGGCGGAAGTTTCAACCACAAAGCCCGGTATCTACGTCAGATTGTTGAAAAGGGCCCAGGTATCCTCTGACAAGGACCGCAAGGTCAAGGACACTGAGTTGACATTACTTTGGGGTTTGGAGAGATGGTATTGCTCGTTGTACTTTAAGATCGGAAGCACACAGACGGATGTTGACAATACTATTAATGAATTCCTTTTTCGGCGACCTTGCGAATCACACGACCTGAAGGCAGCGGCTTGTATGACGACTCGGCTTTAGCGGTTGCTCCCTTGCCCATGGTCCATTTCTTTATGCTTCAACACCCTGAGCAGGCATAGAATCTTGGTTCAAGCCGTAAAGTCCTAAGATAGATTCGTTCCAGACAAATCTCCATACTTTCATCGTCTCTTCTCAGGCTAGAAAGTGTCTGACTATTACTGGATCATGTCCGCAGGCTCACAGTCAGTGATAGTCGGGCTGGATATTGAGGAAGTGGAGCTAATTACCTTGTCATTGGATACCTACGCCAGATAGATCTAGGTACAAAGTCGTATGTATATTCCCAAACGCCAGAATATCGATTCTCAAATCTACAAAGTTCAGTCTGGGAGGATTTAAGAAATAGACTCGAGGCATGTTCATCTCATGCATTGTTGAGTTCGCCTCGGACTGTTGGATCTTTCTTGTTCCCACCCCTGTCTTTCGTGCCATCTCGCTAGTACAAATTTGTCGCATCCGGGGTCACACTGTGAGCTTACGCCCAGTTATCGGGCCCACGCAGCAACTTGGTATGCGTCGATAGCGTGGAAGGGACCCAGGGCAAGCTGAACCTTTCCTCGCTGCTCGTTGGTCCCGAATAAGAGCGCCTCCTCCTGGTCATGCAGTGTGAGCCCATCAGCTGCCGAGCCTCCCAGAGCGTACAACCGGCCCTCAATGCATTCATACAGGTTTCTGGTAGGGTACCAGCATGCCCTGGCATGAAGAACCCATGTAGCCTTAAGTTGCTGCCTGCTGTTTTCACGATCCAGGGAAGAAAATCCTTCTCATCTGCAGTCAGCATTCATGTGGGAGCAACGGTCAAGAGTTCGTTAGATGTGGGCCTCCCTACAATATAACTGATTGTCAATCACCCACACATTTGAAGTGATAATTAATTGAGCGGCTCTTTCATCCTGGCATCAGCTCTTACGCACTTGCTGCCACACCAACAAACTCGTTGACGATGTCGGACCAAGCCGATGCTCCGGTCTTTGGCGCTTTCAGTTCGCTGCTAGGTTACGTTGGGGGGCAAGCTGCCACCAGCGCGATCTTCGAGAGGTTTCTTTGGCCTCAGCGGAATTTCTCATCGTTTTCCATTTACGACATGCCGCGACTAGCATGTTTGTACTCTATGGCAGGCCCTATTGGGTCAATTGCTCTCGAGGTCATCGACACTGCATATAAGAATGGACTCTTTAGCGGTGCTGTACAGGGTCATATGCTTGGAACACACTTTTACCGCGACCTTGAATGGACCTATACTTTGCACGCCTGCGGAGGAGAATCTGAGAGGGAATCGCAAATCCGAAACTGCCTTTGGGTCCAGGCCCTACTCAACATGCCTCTCCCAACCATCAAAGAGCCCTCAATCCGACAACCAAATGACACCGAGAGCGGCAAAGTCACTGAAGAAAAAGCGAAACCAGTGCGCGCAAGAGTTGCCGTTAGCCACTTAGTGCTCTCAAAAGCTACAGACGAAGACCTTGGTAACTCCAAGGTCCCTTTCATTTCGGAAGAGATCAAGCGTGTTGACTTGCTCTGCTTGGTGGAGATTATATTAACCGAGTGTGTTGGCATCGGCATCATGATTTGCGTAGCCACAATCACTCGCTCGCTGTGGAGCATCATCTTCATTATGCCGCTCATCCTTCGAATTATCGGCACCTTATTCGCTCTTGAACGTGAGGGTCTAACGCCCTTCCCGGACGCAATCGACGATGAACAGACACGGGACTGGGAGATCAATTGCCCGGCAATCGAAGGAAAATTCATGTTAATCACCGGCCCGCCCTCTATCGTCAACCAGTTCTTTCGTCATTACGGACATCCTGTGAGAAATCGATTCCGCGAGGTTATCCAGCTAGCTGTCGTCATTGCCTTTGGGACTTATTTCCCAGTGGGGCTCCTTTGTCAAGTCACCTGGATGCCCGTTTTTGTACAGTACATCTGGACAGTTTGGCAAGTCTGGCAAGTCTTGGTCATGCATTTCGATCGATATACCCAAAGAGGGACCAGCCGCACGACTACAGATGCCGCTATCGCAGCGAAGTTATTCAAGAGTTTCCAAACTGGTGACTCTGACAGAGTTTTCGCAAGCGATATCCTGTTTGGGCAGAGGAGAAACGGACCTGCTGTTGTAAAAGCCAGTTTATCATTGACAGTGGCGGATAGCTATGCAGACGGAAAGAAAGTTTTGAAGAGCAAGATTGGGAAATGAAGGAAGGAAGGAATGATTTGCAATGTTTCACAATGTTCGTTAATATTTTCTCTTGCTAGAAGTTGTTTTGCAGACTCGCCTCCTCTCAACCGTGGAATGCGAATGTGACTTCTCAGAGTACAGGGCTTAGAACTAGCAAAGGGGCAATCAAAGAAAGGGACTATTTCAGCTGCGTACAAAGCCGTGATTTATTAAATGCACAAGATTACTCTTGCAATATCTAAACTGCACCAAGGCTCGCATTCTGAGGCAAAAGTCCACAAACATCAACGAAACACTGAAAATGGTCGATCTCAAGGACGAATGAAAATGCGCCGCAAGATTCCGACTCGCAGCCGCCACACTATCGCTGGGTTACAGGTGATGACTGAGAGCCTTAGGACTGTCTTGGCTGTCGTATTGTCACACAGCACATGCAGTTGCGAGGCCTGAATCCCACATCAAAGTTCGATGTGATATGGAGCTCACTAAGAGATGAAGAAAAAGTCACAACTGAGTTACCTAGTCAGTATCTGAACCCTCTTGTGAGAGACCTGTAAGCTGGTAACTTACTCGACGGCTTTGACAAGGGAACATAAGGCGTAATGACCCTAGTCCACTGCAGTACACATGATGTAACATGACCTTGAGGCTCTTTTCATATAAGGTAGGTTGCATCAATCAAGAAGATTTTGCCTTGTGATTGAATTCGTGGGGGGCTTGGTGGTCATCCTTGTTGTTATCTCCATGTCGATCGCCAATAACTTCACCATTGCATGCCTGGATGTTCAGCTTCGTTGTTGTATGATGTTCCGAATTGCCTTCAAGTAGTATCGGCTGAGAAGCGATATAGTCGTCTTGGTTCTGCATGTCGTAGTGCATTTGCTGGATAATATCCTCCTCCAAGTACTCCAAAAGACCCTTGACACCAATATGGGACCAATACGGGCTGTCTCTTCCCACAGAAAGTTGGTATTATCGAAAGCCTCGCAGTCAAGACCGTCCTCATACTCGACAATATCTGACTCTTGATATTTGTTCATCATGTGGCGACGTTCTTTGAGCCTACTCGAGGCACCCAAGGTGCACAAGGTCGCTTCTCCGGATCCATTCTCATCAGAGATATCTATTGGCCATGAGTCTGTAAAGGCTGTTTGCACACCAGAGGTGGAGAGGCTGAAATCCACTTCGAAGAATTCATCTGATGCCTCCACGAATTTGTCAAGGAAATACCTCATTGACAGCGACTCAGGGTAGTGTGGAGTGACATTGACCAAAGTGCAGCCGGAATCGTCTTCAGCTACCAGGTGACCAAACAAGATCTCTTCGCACATGATCGGAAAGAAGTCGAAGTATGAAGCCTAGTCAACCTCTTGTCCTTCTCCACTCTCCGTGGAAGAAATCACAGAATCATCGTCACTGGACCAGTCTCGGTCACTCCCGGCGTATTCTGAGTCGGTTCTTTCAGCGTTTGTACACCCAGAAATCATCCTTCGATGGGAGACAATCAAGGAGTAGGCACCGACCGTACTCTTGGGGGGACTGGCTTCCTGGACGTATTCACCCCCTAGAGAACGTGTGCCTTGGCCAGGTGAGACTTGATAAGCTTGAAAGATCTTTCTGCCGAATCCACAGAGGGGGGTCTCATGATCGAGAGAAGCTGCGAAGGCGCTTGTTCGGGCAAAGCTGAGTCCAAGTTGGCCTGTAGTGGTTCGGATTGATGTGGCTTTATGGATGATACCACTGTGCGGAAGTGATCATGTACTACAAGTTGGACGAGCTGGTGCAACCCTATTCGCAAACGGGCAATGACCATGTTCAGCCAGAGCTGAGACAATGGAGCCTTTGTTCTTGGAGTCTATGTGAAAGAGTCTGCCAGTTCTTTCATCATACTTGTGACGGAGTGTCTTCTTTGAGATAATCGAGCACGTCTTACCGGCTTTGTCCATTATGGTATTAGTTGACGTGTCTTGGGAGAAATTCCGCATCCATGTAAGCTTTTGGCTGCACAAGACGAAGGCTTGCAGAGGATGGACCTCGTCGCTTGAGGATTCTGAAGATGTGGCAGCCTGGTAACTTCGATTTGCTGATAGGATAAAATAGAGAGGGGAAAGTTTGATTGATAATCCTGAATCGGCACAATACCGCTCGTTGATATCAAGTAAGGGACACCTCGCCGCGGGAATTGAGATTAGGATGAGAATAAAAGTAGAAATCACGCGAAGCTAGAGTCTCAATCGATGCGAGACCTCACTTCTGCCAATAGCGATGTGGATAAAGAAGGGCTCGAAAATCACGCTGATAGAGGGCGCGTTAACACGTCCAGATGCTATGGCAACAACCGTACCAGCCAAACTGTCTCTGTTATCACGTGCAATGGCCAATGTACAATGGCCAAGGTACAATGGCGGCGAAGCTGCAGTCAATCGAAACGGTGAAAGGTGAAGTCTATCAGACTGCTAACCCAACCCTAAGACGGAGTTGGCAAGTAAAAGGTGGAGTTGTCAGGGCTATCTGGGCGAAGGAGTTGCCCGAAACGCACCTCGGGCGTTCTCGTGATTTTCCTCATTAGGAATAAGCGGCTGGCCATTTCAACTTCACCTCGAACAACGTAAACAATTGTGGGTCTCCCGTTATACAATTGAAGGATCCACTAGGCACCAATTACTGCTTCTGAACCTGGCGCGTTGGCATCTCTACATTTCACGTTGATATCCTCTGGTCCGGTGGCCACCTCGAGAGTCGTGCTCACACAACAACGGCCTAAAAGTTATTGCTTCACGCGGCGCCTCATCTCATCCTGATAGACAGGCTCTGACATTCCGCAATCCTGCAGAGATCTTCCTTCTCGCCACCCACTGTGTCACCGCGACTTTTCTCGCGACATTTTTCCAGATACCGTGGTGATCAGTACAAACCTACTTCATTCCTCAAAAGCTAACCGTAGCCTATTGGCGCGGTCTTTCCTCAACTCTCAACACTGAAAGAACTCCGATAGAGTCTTCTGTGAATCCGGTCCATCGATTTTTACTCCAACTCTCGAGTCTGCGAGCATCGTCTGCCGTAGATTGCGTCGTCGTGAAAGCACGCCGAGATCCGTTGCGTGACGTAGAGCTATCTATCCCAAGTAATTTGATTCGCTGCTCACTGCAATTCGCTGGACCTGAACAAGAGCTGATGACCGCAGAATCCAGTATGGGCTTCTTCCGCCGCATGTTTGCTTTCTTGGAAGAAGGTTCACACCATGCCTTGCCCAAGGGCAAGCCAAGCCGAAGTCTTATGAGCGCCGCTGTCGCCCTCCACAAGATGGGTCGTAGGCCATCTTCCAATAGCTTCCGAGGAGAAAATGTGGCTTCCAACAGCCTAACGACTACTCGATGCCACGCTGCCACTTGCGAAAGCAGCTCCGAATCCATCTCGAACCACTCTGCGACTGCCACAGCCCAAGACGAAAGCCAGCTTTGCGTCCTGAACGATGCGATCGACTTTGAGCCCGAGAAGCAGCTCGCTATTCGTATTCTGAGATGCAGAGTCCCATCCACAATGAGCCCTCGCTCCTCCATTGAGTCCATCAGCCCTGTCAAGGTTCACGAGGCTATCTAGTGGACGCGCTTCGAGAGCCAGGAGGGTCTATGTTCTTCATCATTGGGGTCAAACACAATCACGATCTCACCCTTCAGCGTCAAAAGCTCGAACAAAGAAAGATTTCCCGCTTATCCAAGCATCTCTGGCTTGGAGCCTTTCTCGCTGCTTAATGCAGGTTCCCGTCGCACAGTCAAGAGTAAGCAGAAGGTTTCTGGCCTTTCCGATCTGTACCAGGGTCAAGCATTCCCTCCTATCGAGCATCTTCTTACCAAGCCAGAGAGGCAACGAATTCGACAAGTCTCAGTCTCTCATGTATCGACAATCAGCTCAAGCTCCCTTAGTAAACAATGTGATCTAGACGAAAACGTTTTTGTCAGATTCCCGTCTTTTGAGCAGGCTGGGGTGAAGCAGCTCGGCGAACTCCTCGAGCACGAAAGCCGCTTTGCTAAGTACCATGAAGAGGATGACGATTGCGATGAGTGGGGCATCCAGTGCGGTGGCATCGACGAAGCTGCGGTCTCGTCGAAGAGACACCCCAACATCGTCAACTACGAGAAGTACATCGACGACAGTGTGATTCAACAGATCTATGAAGATCTTCCCGAGGCCGAGAATGCCGATTTCAAGCCTGCCACAAAGTCGGCTCGCAACTTGCGATTTGGCAACTACACCACCGGCAAGTATGTGAAGATCAAGTCGGAGCAGGATGTTGGCGTGTCGAAGCCGCAAAAGAAGCCGGGAAAGTGGGTTGCTGGTCTCCTTCGTAAGGCCGTCAGTGTCTTCTTTCCGAAAGTTGCCCAGCCTGCCCTGTCCCTTGCCGCTGAACCGCGACTTCGTTTCTGCCATCCTCTTGGATTATCTGAAGTACTTTATACGATGGAGACGCATCACGCTTGCGTCTTACATCAACACAAGATGCATTGCGATTACGGGAGCAAAGGTAAGAGAGCCTCAGAAACCTAGACTGTGCCAATATGCTGATGATAACAAGGTTTCTAGATGATTACAACCGTCTTCCTCCATCCTTGATGTTTCTGTAAGTTGGGAACACTATTTGCAGCTATGGTTTTGTGCGCAGAGTTCACATATCGATGCAAGTTTATTATGTGGCCCGTCAGTGATTACGCGAAGTCGACCAAAGACCGAGGTCACAGATCAGTGATGGGTTATGGTTATGCTTTAGTAGGAAGTTTCGTTTGGTTGTTTGTGATGGTTTTTGTACTTGCTGGAGTTTGGTTCCAGGCATTTTGCTGTTATCCCAGGCTTTATCATTCCCGTTGTCTGACAAAAGTTCCATTGTCTGACGAGGCTTTGTTTACGTCTATGTACTGGAGGTGGAAATATGGACATCGGGATTATGAAGACGGTTTCTTTTTCTTTCCGCAGCGAGAGGGTTTCCTAATATGAACCATAACCTTTTGCATTTCCAAACTTTGTTCGCGAGTCAACGTCAACGAGTCCGTGAATTTTTAGCTGCCCAGCCTCTTGGAAATCCATGACAGACTCATGGTCAGATATTGCTTGAGTCGTAGACCGCTGGTGTCAGTCGCAAACCACACATTATTCGCATTTGACTATACCTCAATCAGAAGTCGGCGATGCTAGTGCTTGACCAAAGTAGCTTCGGCGTTTGTGCCTGGCGCTAATCAAGATCAACTATCGCCAATGGAGAGATAGGTTCGACGACCATTAGCCTTTGCAGAGTTCAAGTCGTCGTCATCATCTTCAGGGCGCCGGCATCGAGTCCCTCCCGGGCGTGCACGCCACAAAGGGCTATAGCCAAACTCAGCGATGCTTGCCATCCGTTCTTCCTCTCGCACGTATCCATACCACGACTCGGCGTCATCCGAGCCTCTGGAACGGACTGTCGCATAGGCTTGCAGATGCTTCGACGCACAACTGCATTTCCGCATCGTCCCTGTGACAACCACCTAGCCGCATCGCAATTCTTATTTGAGATCATTCGATGCAGTACCGGGTTGCCGGCACCTAAGGGATCCTGAAAGGTGCGTGAGCGATACGCTTCAATGACAGGATTCCCGAGGCGGTGCAGCTTAGCGCAGGGGGGATTATCCTCGTTAGCTTGGCTAGCGCAGAGACCCCGCGACCTAAAAGACGGGATGTGGATGGTCAATAACGCATGTCTTGGGTCATCTTCATGAATCACGTTGACCTCTGAATATGCTCTTTACTATTCGTGGTGATCTGACGTGTCAGCAGCTGAACGAATCTCTTATGGGCAATAAAGAATGGAGTCGAAGGGAAGTTTTTAATGTGAAAGCTTTCGGTAGTTTGTTTCCAAAGATTACAATTACGCAATCCGATGTTGAACGCGTTTCCCCCACCGTATTGGATTAGCTCGAGGTCAAAACTCGGACGTAAAGACACTTGAGCCGCTGCCCCTGAGCTTCGACGCCAGAAGAGGAAGAAGCCCGGCCGGCACGAAAGAAAACTAGCGTTCCCCACCAGTCAATGACAGTTTTCTGATGTTTTGAGATGGACTATCTTTTCATATCCACTCTGATTTAGCTCGACCCTCCGGATCTCCGTTTAGAAGTTTCAGGGTGTTGTTCGTCGTTCCCGTCCTCGGCTTGAACGACAGCCAGCGTTTCGTTTGTACGAGAAACTCAATCTGCTGCACCATTGATAGCATCATGTGCAACGATTGGTGATTGTGCAGCCCGGGAGCATACCGCACCTCGCACCGAGGTTTTTGAGCTGCAGACCGAGAGCCTCGAGTTTGCCTTTGCTTTGAGTCAGACGAAGGATCTGTTGCCGTATGAATGTGAATGGCTCGTGTGCAAACAACATACGTGCGGTACTCGCGAGTACGTAGCTGACCACACAAACTCTATCCAAGCCAGCCGCACAACAACGCTCACGCCACACCCGCTCTACGACCAAATGGTGGCTCACCTGAAGCTGTCGAGTGGGACTCCTGATAGTATCTGACTCTTGTCAGGTCAGCGAATATGGTCCGATGATGCTGCTGCCTGACCCAAACCCTCGAGTCACGAGAGAGGCGAAAGCTGGACTTAGAGTCCCTCTCAACATAGTTGATGGGCATGACGCCCATAGGATCATCCGACGAACAAGTTGCCGGAACCTTCAGAGCCTGCAACCCATAATTGGAAACGAGGTCAAAAGTTCGTATCAATTAAGCTCATCGGCATCGCAGAAGTTACCAGAGTCTCGGCCTCAACTTTCCCGGCACTGGGTCACACGTTGACACTAGAACAACAGGGACCTAGCTAGTACCTTGCATCCATTCTTAGACCATAGGTGAGATGCTAGCGCGGACATGTGCCGTCAAGGAGCACCAGTGCTGATGCAGATCGGGTTAAGCCCATCAGCCTCAGCATAGCAACACGGATAGGCTTCCCGAGTCCGACTCTCCCTACGGGCGAGATCAACAAGGATTAACTGGGGTGTTGTACGGTACTGGGATGCTGTACCCCAGCCGTTGAAGAAAGTCCGTCTCGTTTTTAGATGTTGGCTAACTAGACTCGAGCCTCCTTCAAGGAGTATATAGCTCAAACATGCTCACCCTCTTTCTTGGCTTTAGGAATCATCAGCAGTCACTCACTTAGACATCTGACAACAGTCTTTTCACACACATTCGTTTCTTACTTTACCGAAAAGGTTAGCTGCCAAGATGGTCGCCATCAAAGGCATGGGAGGCGTCCTTGGCTGGTTGTTCTCAATCCAAGCGTCTCTGAGCCAAGACAAGACCAACGGGTAAGACAACTCTCTTAGCACAGCTTGGCTGCATTCTCCACGGGACATCAACTCAACTAACATGAACCCTTGTGCAGAAAATCCCCTCTTGGCACTTTGAATGCTGCCAAGCTGCCACTCTTTATGAGAAACAACCCGCTCCCCAACGGCTTTCCCTGGGGCAAGCTTTCCGCCGATGGCACCAACTACTACAAGGAGTGGCCCAATACCGGCGTCACCCGCAAGTACGACTTCACCGTCAGCCGCGGTGTGATCGCCCCTGATGGCTACGAGCGCAAGGTCCTGCTCGTGAACGGTGCCTTCCCCGGCCCTACTATTGAGGCCAACTGGGGTGATTGGATCGAGGTGACGGTCACGAACAACATCACCGACGGCCCTGAGGGAACCGCGCTCCACTGGCACGGATTCAGACAGCAGAACACCCAGTGGGAAGATGGTGTCCCGGCTATCTCCCAGTGCCCGATTGCTCCCGCCAAGACCTACACTTACAGGTTCCAGGCGACTCTGTACGGAACTACTTGGTATCACTCTCACTACTCCTCTCAATACGCTGGTGGCTTGTTCGGACCCATGGTCATCTATGGCCCTGCTAAATCTCAGCCTGAGATTGATCTTGGCCCTATTATGCTCTCTGGTAAGTTGATATTGTGCAATCCTTCTTGCAATAGCTACAGTATCTTCTGCGATGGATGGCTGCTCATGGCTATTCCGGAGTCGGCCAGCCATGCGCTCTTTAACCGGGGCCGGTGACGGAGGTGTGGGTACCCGGGGCTGGTTCCTGAGTCCAATCTCAACCCCGGTTTCGAGGTGGAGCTATCCGGACAGCCGAATGCAACGCCTGCAATGATCACCACTTCAGAAGAATGAAGGCGCTAACGTCTCCCAGATTGGTACCACAAGCAATACTTCGATCTCATTGAGGAAATCTTGCAGGTTAATGGCAGTGGATTGGTCTTCTCGGACAACAACCTGATCAACGGCAAGGGTAACTTCAACTGCTCCACCGTTGCGACTGGAGATAACACCAAGTGCACCAACAATGCCGGTATCTCCAAGTTCAAGTTCCAGACCGGCAAGACCCACCGCCTCCGTCTCATCAACTCCGGTGCCGAGGGAACCCAGCGCTTCTCCATCGACGGACACACCCTCACCGTCATCGCCAACGACTTTGTTGAGGTCGAGCCCTATGACACAAAGGTTGTCACCCTCGGTATTGGCCAGAGAACCGACGTCCTCGTCAAGGCCAACGCCGACAACAGCAACCCCAGGGGTGCCTACTGGATGCGTAGCAACATCACCAGCTGCAGTCTTAGCACCCAGCCCCTCGCCCTTGCTGCCGTCTACTACGATCTGGCCGACCAGTCCAAGGCGCCCACCAGCAGTGCCTGGAACGTTCCTGACCCCGGCACCTGCGTCAACGATGACCTCGCTCTCACCAAGCCCGTCATGAAGCTCAAGCCGGCCAACGTCCCCGTCACCAAGACCATGGAAATCAAGGTCTTCCGCAATGACTCTGGTATTGTTCAATGGTCGCTTGGCGGCGTTGACTTCCGCGGCAACTTCAACGACCCCACGCTTCTTCAGGTCAACAAGGGTGATTTGACCTTTGAAAATGACTGGAACGTCCAGAACTTTGCCAATAACGGCAGCGTTCGCATTGTCGTCAGCAACAACAGCCCTGCAGCGTAAGACCACACCTCTCACTTCTTCTTTTTTGTACAACCGACTAACTTGCGCAGTCATCCCATGCATCTCCACGGTTTCAACATGTACATCCTGCACGAGGGTGACGGCCTGACCTGGGACGGAACTATCACCAACCCCGAGAACCCTCAGCGTCGTGACGTTCAGCAGGTTCGTGCCGGCGGCCACATGGTCATGCAATTCGACTCCAACGAGAACCCTGGTGTCTGGCCCTTCCACTGCCACATTGCCTGGCACGCATCCGCCGGTCTCTTCTCTCAGTTGCTGGTTCAGCCCGAGAAGGTCAAGCAGCTCCGCATTCCTTCCGCCGTCGCTGATGTCTGCAAGGATTGGTCTGCCTGGACCCAGAGAAACATCCCAGAGGTCATTGACAGCGGTCAGTAGATCTGAGTCTATTTCATTTCTTTGTCTATAGTATCCACAGTGCACTGGTAGCATTTACATTTCTTGGTTGTGTATTATTCGGTTATTGGGAGGTTTATAGATTTCACATCTAGGCACTTTGTCTGTACATTACCCGGCTAGAAGGATTCAAATGAAACCTACAACATATGCGGATCGCATCGATGTGTGTGATTCTCATTAGCGTGCGCCGAAGCCGACATTGCTCCAGATGCCGAAGTGTCTATAACTCCAAATGTTCTATCAGTCGTCTAGCGTTGTTCAAAAGAGCGAGACAGCTAGGCTGTCGATCATCTGATCCACAGAACGACTGATAGCAAGGTGGGCAGTCAGGTGCAGGCGGCGTGTGATGCCATCGCCGTTGACGCTGCTCCATAAGGTCAAAGAACCCCGTAAGATACTTATTATCTTTCTGTCCCTCAGCTCCAAAGATTTCTGACCTCACGATGTTTCGCATTATTTTGCCCCATTCTGATGGTGATATCTCTACCGAGAACAGGCTTGGCGCACTTGTAGACGACGATTCTCCATAGGCCGATGAGCCCGGTAATTCGCCGTGGATTCCAAGGCGCTTCTTCTCTTCGGCCTCCGTCGCTCTAGTCTCTTCTGTCGAGATCGATGCAAGCATTCTCTTGTACGACTCTGTAAGACAAAGACATAGAACGCCAAGTAGGGCGGCGTTCTGGATGATGGAGAAGTACCGGCGCGGGCATCTTTGACAATTTAGAACTTGTAAAGCCGGCTCGAAGGTATTCCGGAGTAGGGCGAAGTCCTCTGGTGCGACAAGATGTTCTTTTACCCGAAGGTGCTCGAGCAACAGGTACAGTACTGAAAGACAGGCGCAATTATCCGTCGTTTGCTGATTGTCTGAGGCAAGGGGAGGGAAAGCTGCAAGACCTTCAGATACGAGATCTTGACTGGGCCTGGGTTCATCAAGCAAATCGTCAGCGAACGTGTAGTTGTAGTAAGTTGTGGTTGATACGATGCTAAAATCATACCCTTGGTTATTTTCCAAGTCAATGAGATCTGGGTGGATTACAAAAGTCTCCGGGTTGAGAGGGGAGCTGATTCGCGGGCTTGTTGACCCGAGAAGAGCGTCAATTTCTCGTGTATTGCTACTCCCAGAGTCCGATGCAGCATCTGTATGAACGGGAGAGAGCAACCTGGTCGAAGCATTCCGCCGAGGTAGTATCCGTTCCCGACGGATTGGTTGGGACGATTGAGGACGGACACGACGTGATGTCGGCCTACCCATGGGCTTGTGGGGAGAGTAATAGCATTCCCGGTCGGAGGTCCTGCATTTGGAGCAGATCGGACGTTCTCCTGTGCATTTGATCTTTTTTACTCCTGGGGATACACCTGACGTTAGTACATTCAATGTCATTTCCCAAGGACAAAGATCCACTACGCACGGCAAGCCTCGCATGATGCTCGAAGACTCGATCCTCCAACGGGCAAATTTGGAGTCATTGTTCACCAATAAAGATGCGCTATAAACTCGGATAGGTATGTTTCCGGTCAAGAGAAATACGGAGAATGAGCTGAGGAAAATTGAGCAATGACGACTGATATGAAAGGAACAGGAAGTCAACAGATTAAACAAAGCCACGGAGGGTTTCCGAGTAATCTGTGCTATCGGAGACTTTAGTCCACAATGATTGGCTCATAATATCCGATCGATCCACCTCCACGGAGGGCGTCGCGTTCCCCGCTGCCGAAGTAGCATCCGGGCCCAAGGACGATCATAGATCATCGGGCAAGCCGGGTGTAAATAGCATTGTGTATTTAACTTGAACAAATTCCAACGTATTGCCCTATTCATGGGCCCTTTTCGAGCAATAAGATGATGTGTTTTCATACATGAAGTTACGCTAACTTTGCAGGTTCATTCTAATGATCGATTGCAGTGGTGAGATGGTTATCGGTATCTTTTACAGTCCGCCCGGCTCTTACATGAAGAAGCCATGTTGTTACAAATCATTCCAGCCTGCTACTCAATGCTCAGACTTAGGTACTTAGAATCCAGAATGCCATCCTCCAATTCACCCCCTGGCAGTGATTACGCACTCAGCTCAGGCATTCGCAAGATTTCCGATACCCCCTCACGGAACAGCAGCATTGCGTAAAAGCTGTGGAACTGCAATAGGATGCCGGACAGGTGGTGATTTCGAGTCGGGTTGCAAGCCGTTGATTCATAGACGACTTTGACTCTTGCTGGATTTTCAGAACTTCTGACAATGCTGAACCGATGAGCACCTGCAAATTGACTGATGTCTTTCCCGAATACAAAGTCAACGCTACTTTCTGTTTCCGGCTCCGCTTGTGACTCTTTGGAATCGATGAGCTTGACGTGGCTGACTTGAAACGTGCCAAAGACTACGGAATGCACTGGTGGGAGTGTCTTGCATGAAATTTCTTCAGTTTTCCATATCTGGTTTGACGCCGAAATCGGATTGAGTCCTATAATCCTGTCAGGAACCTGGTCACTCCTGACGAGTGGTTACGAGATTGGTGACTCACCAGCGTAGGACACCAAAGTCGGCCGTGCCGTCTGCAGCAGAAGCCTCTCGATTGCCAAAACCTTGCCCGCAAAAAACCCATGGATGAAAGTCGCCAATAATACTTCGTCGCTTAAGTCTCTTGCGTTCTTGGGTAGGTCTAAATCTAGAGCTAGCCTGTCTGCTGATGAGGCATGTCCTCTGGGATTTACTAGAGTCTTGAGAGTATGCGATTGTTTGAAGTTTTCTGAAAGGCCACTACTAGAGACTACCCGTCGCGTGTAAACCGCTCGAATACTTGTGTAGACCTCGCAACCGTGTTTTACGACTAAGGCGCATGGGATCGCTACTACTAGGGCGAGGGCGTGACGCCCGCCGATGTGTCGCAGACCAAGGGCCATCTGAGGAACTCGAAGGCGACGTTATAATGATGATATAAAATGTCAGAGTTGAACAGCTGTTTCTGGCCAAATCTTGGGTATACAATATTGATGTTACCTCGAGTCTGGACATGCAATTAAGTATGGCAGATATTTAGAAGCTGACATGTCAGACGAAAACAGCCCGCGATCGATTCCCGCCGGCTTTACCCGCGCTCAGTTCTCGGCCCTTGCTACTAACGCCATCCAGCTTAACTGCTCTTTTTGGCGAGCAAAAGTCCGAATTTTTGACCCTTAAGTATGAATATGAACAGACCATCTCGTTTAAAAATGGTCACATGTGTTGGCATTCATCAATAAGATGACTCAACTTGTCTCATGCAGCCTTTCTGGTCTCGGGATTGTCTTGTAGGGCCAAGATTGAGTTGATGTTAGTGCTTCCCCCCACCCAGTTCCGCGCTGAAGACGGAAACCACAATACAGACTGGTGATCAGCATGGACTCTCGAGACCGAGACTGCCATGCTTTTCATTGCCTAATGGGAATCGACGTAGCATCATACTTTAGGCGAACGTGAATGAGATGTGAAACTTCATTTGCCTGTTTCAATGGCCCGGCACCGGTAGACCTTCTGAAATGAATGAAATACCTCCAGCCACTCTTTCTTACTCCGCATTGCCCAACACGGGCGGATTTTGGAACAGTTCCAGCTGGGACCTTAGCTGTCAACTTAGCGGCTAAGGTCTCACCCGCCAGCGGCAGCTTACACATGGACACTGTTGAAGCTTCTCAGCGCGGGGCTCATGTTTGAACAGGACTTACCTTGTGTGACGTCTACAAAATTAGCAGCGATTGTAGGCACCTTGTTTCTATAAGTAAATTGTATTCACCGTCTTCTCGGCTTGTTCACAGAGCATCACATCTCATCATAAGCAAATCACACTTCGTTTCCTTCAGTCAGTCGAAATGGCATCGACAGACGACAAAACCATCCACCTAGTAGGCATCGGCGTCGGCCACTCAATCGCGCCCCCAATGCACAACGCCATCGCGAAATCCCTCTCTCTCCCCTGGACCTTCCACGCCACCGAATGTAACACGATCGAAGACCTCGTCCTCCTGGCACGTAAAGACTCAACGGCAGGCCTCGTCGTCACGATGCCCTATAAAAATACAGTCATGCCCCGGCTCGATGCCCTAGACCCCCTCGCCACCACCATTGGCGCCTGCAACAACGTCTACCGCGACCCGTCGAACCCGGCGAGGCTGAGGGGGACGAACACGGATTGGCTGGGTGTAAAGGGGTGTCTTCTCGAAAAGGGCGAAGGGCGGGGTCCGGTAGAGGGAAAGCCTGCGTTGATTGTGGGTGCTGGCGGCGCGAGTCGTGCTGCGGTGTATGCTCTGCATACATACTTCAAGGCCTCTGTGATCTATGTTCTGAACAGAGATGATGGAGAAGTGTCCGATCTTCAGCGCGATGCTCGACGTCTGTCTCGCGCTCCCAAGATTGTTCATGTCAAAGAAGGGGAGTCGAAGACGCTGAAGACACCGTACTACGTGGTCGGAACGGTCCCCGATTTTGAACCTACATCAGCGTCTGAGATGGCGGTAAGAGCATCTCTAGAGGACTTCCTTTCACGGCCGGAGAAGGGAGTCTTGTTGGATATGTGCTTCAAGCCGCGGCGGACGAGGATGATCAAACTAGCGGAGAGCTTTGGGTGGCCCTCGGTAGAGGGGACGCATGTTATTGGGTACCAGATCGAGGAGCAGTGGAAGCTTTGGGCCGGGGAGGAGAGAGTGAAGGAATTTGACAAGGACGCAGCGTGGAAGGTTCTATTGGAGGCGGCTGACAATAGTCCGGGGATCAATTTCTAAGCAAGTTGACGTTTATGTCTTGAACAACTGAGATTCTGGCTGAAATATGAATACCAGTCAATAGTGACACGCTTGTGGAATATACTGCTAATCAAACGCAGCTTCAATTCAAGTTGAATCGCTTTACAAGCTTCTTCCAGGCTTCAATGCCTCTTCGCGCATGCTCCTCAGGCACCTCCTTATGCTCTTCCGCCATTGTTCGTGAGAATAGTTCCATCGACACCCACCCCTTATATCCGAGTTCCTCAATGAGTGTCCGAGCAACCTCCTCAACCGGCAAGTAAGCCCCGCGATCCGTCTCATACATGTACGTTCTCGCATTTCTCGACCACATCATCCGCGACGGATTGCCGTCCACGTGGAAAGGATGGCCTGTTACGAGAGGTTGTTCCATCCGCTCGGCGTCAACAACCTGGATGTAAAACACCTTTTCCAAATCAACGCTCTGCACCAACCTGTCCATCGATGCCTTCAAGTCTGCGTCTGCGTTGGGGGTCTTCCCGGACGGAGATGCCGGATCACCCCAGACGCGGCCGGCGATGTTGAAGGTGTCGAGGCAGAGGCCGAAGTTTGGGCGGTCGACGCGCGTGGCAACCTCCCAGGACTTCTCCCATGTGTCGACATGCGTGCTCCAGCATAAACTCTCGTACGCAAACCGGATGGGCGGGTCTTCCTTGAGACCTAGATCTGCGAGTTCGACTAAATCGGCAACGATGACATCCATATCACCAATTAGCTGGTCGGCGGGGAGGAAGTTGGCGGGTATCTGGATCGTGTTGGTCCCCAGGGTCTTGGCCAACTTGAACCACAGCTTAATCTTCTCGATGAGTCGGGCATGTTGATCTCTATCCAAAAGACCTTCGTAGAAAAGGAATGGCTGTAGACCGATGATTGTGATCTTCAGCTCTTCGAGTACCTTACGGATATGCTCTGCGGCGAAAAGGAGGTGCTCCGGGGCAGGCTGATCGATGTCATGGAGCTTTTTGGCAACGTATTCGAGGTCCTCGTAGAATATCTCGATGCCTTCGAAACCATACTTTGCTGCCTCAGTGACCTTCTTGTCAAAATCGTGGACCCAGGCGCGGCCGAGAGACGCAGAGAGTATGGCGGGTCGGAAAACGGTCATGGTTGGACGTGGCGATGGTGACGGCTATGCTTTGAGACGAGAGATTGGGTATCGTCGTGGCGAACAAGCCCCGTAGTAAGACCATATGTGTTCAAGACTGTTGGTTCGATGCTAAATGATCCATCATCCGTCAATGCCATTGACCCCGCACTTCACCCAAAGTTAGTAAGCTGTGCAAGACCCGGGTGATGTCAAAAATGGCAGTTCAAGAAGGCGGCTAAGCGTAGTTCCGGTCTATGCCACTGGCGTCTACTGCATATTCCGCAAGTCCGAAGAATTTGATCAGTTTGGTGAAGACCCAACTTCACCCGGGCTCTTGGTCAAAGAATGACTGGATATCCGTCGCCATGTCGCCTACAACTCCGAGATGCCGCATGAACTCTGGTGGATTTGCCGACCTATTTCAATTTGTTAGATACCGAGTCCAATACGATATGCAAAATGTTCGCGTATTTACCAATCAGCTGAGTCGAGATCAGCGAGGCTCATGAAGAGTTCACCGCCAATGCTCTCCGTCGCAGTGTCCATAAGTTCACTGAAGCTCACCTGCGCTTCTGGCTGAAACTGCCGCAGGTCCGATTGATGAGCAGATGTGGATTCTGTTATGGCTTCCATTACCGCTGGCTCGCTTTCGGCGATTTCACTGCGAGAAGTTGTAGGAGGGCTGTGTCTCTGGGAAATTTTCTTTTGGGCATCAGCAAGGGCCGTCTTTAAGGATTGCAAATCCCCAAGAGATCCTCCGAGTCCCTGTGTGCTATTCATTCGGTATTCGTAAGCGGCTTCGAGGCTATTGAGAAAGGCTATCGATGTCGGAGGCATGCGAAATGTCTTGGTGGTGTCGAGAAGTTTAAGAAGAGATTGCTCTTGAACAAGCAGTTCCGGGGATCCCTTGCTGGGCACTCTATATGGTGTACCCTTGAGGCGTTGCCCTTGTGTCGTAAGAGTCTCGGAAATACTGGCGCAAGCGAGACGGAGATTCGTATCCTGTGGCGTATTTGCAACATCATGCTGATTTCCATGGTCCGGCAGACGACGCTTCCTCCATTCTTCAAAGTCCCTGATGATATGATAATAACGGCCAATATTGTCGCTTCCCATCTCGAGTCTCACAATATCATTTAGAATGGAAACAAGAAGGAAGAAAGAATTGAACGTGCTCAATGTCAGTCCTGGAGTGTGGCTCGGCGGCTGCGCCTGGTCATCCAAATCTTTTGAATGCCACGGCTCCCATTCTTCCATGGACTCTGTGACAAGCAAGCCAAAGCGCTGTGCGTCCGAGGAGTCGAGATATGGCCGTGACTTTGCCAAGCCTGCGATGAGCGTGTCAAGGACAAAGACGCACATAAGTGTTCGCCGTGTGCCCTCGTCTTTCTGCAAGGGCCCATCGCCATTGACAGTAAGAAACGACATGGCAGCTGAGTATGTGGCTTGGCCGATTGCGAGCCACGCGGCTCCAATGTCTTGCTCTTCCAGTCTAATAAGTGCCACAATGAGTACGGCTCGTATGTGACCGATCTCATACTTTCCATTGTCTTTGGCTAGAATATCTGTCGCTGACTCGAGGAAGGCCTTTGAAAGCTCCAAAGATCCCGACTGGCGCAGGGAATAGGCCATGACTGTCCAGAGAAAGCAGGGATCTCCGCTATGTATAGCATTTGATGTGTTGGCATCCTTATCGTTATTGGCTTTAAGGTAGACCAATCGCATAAGATCATGCTTCTGCACCACGGGTAGCCATGAATGTGTGTTGGCGAAGTACACGTCCAGTAGCTGTGCCCAATTTGGAGGGATCTGCGGCGGGGAGGTATGGCGTTGTGGTGTTGGGACCTGTGACATAACCAAGGCATTTTGTGGGAAAGTCGGCTGAAGCGAATAGAGTGAGAGAGTCGAATCGATATCCTGTTTTGATAGAGTGACTGTTCCAGTCGGTGAGTAGTCGGGTTGGCTGGCGTTGGTATATGCGGGAGTTATCATGTCTGGTCCGTTGTCAACGTTAAGGATCTGGTCTGCCGAGAACTTGGCTGCGAGTTTGGTGGCCTCCCTAATGCCTGAGTCGAACTTCTTGAAGGCTTCGCCATCTTCGAGGCTTTCTGCAAATTCATCGACAGAGAGAAGTCTCTCTACCGTCTTCGAAGTGGTGCTTGTCCTCCAAGACTCCGCCAGTGAATCAGTGACATCCGTTTTGGAGGATATCAGCAGACTCAAATCTTGTAACCCGAACCTCGGTCGTCGTTCTTCGCCGTCAAGTATCGCAGCCAGCCAGTCATCAGCGTCGTCGATAGTGTTGACTATCATGCCAAGAAGTAGCTCAAGAGCTCTTACGTATCCAGTGCGTAGCCCACGTTTCTTCGCAGGCCCGTAGCTACAACTACGTCCGATGCTCAGGCAGGAATTGCATGAGGGGCGAATCCCATCGCATCGGTCTTTACGCCTTCGGCATTCGTTGCAGGCTCGGGTAACGCGTAATCTGACTTTTCCTCGTGCTGTTTTCCCTTCGTCGGATTCTTCTGTAGCGTCGGTCTTGTTCCTTTTCGTTCGTCGCGAGGTCGTTGGTGATAGGCCATCATCGTCTTTGCCCCTAGATTGTCGCTTGGGTGGAAAGGAGGCCATCTTGCCAGCCTACTCGGTGTGACTGGAAGCAGGCCCGCAGGAACATTGAATCATAGATTCGATGGAGACAGTCATAGAAACCACTTTGATCAATTAGGTAGATTCCTCGCAGCGTTTCACAGTATTCAAAATACAGAGTAACTAGAGGCACTCGGACAGAATGCGTGGTCAAAGCCCCACTAGCTGCATGTACTTACTAGAGAAATGCGTCAATGGAGGTATGTAATACAGCAATAGCTGCCATGCTGCCTTGCAACCAAACTTCTCTAATTGCGTGCTTAGGACAAATGCGAAACGACTGATGTTTTTCTTACGATCTGCTCATGAATACACTTAAAAATGAGTTATAAATGATACGAGTCTCATTGCAGTGTCTTGGGCAGCGAGGTACTCGGCCATGTTTGAAGTGTTCTACAATGTTTCTCTCGACCACTATAGGCAATATGCTAAAATGCAGCATACGTGAGTGTCCGATCTCGGGCGGCTAAGATCTTTGCCGCCTAGATTGCCCACTTCAGCAACCAAATTGATGTCACTGGTCGCTGCAATTTTCATAATTATGAGTGGTCGCGGGGTTCAAACTAAGGATATGAGCATAAGGATAGAACAAAAGATCTAATTACATGCCTGCCAATCCGGGAAGAGCAGTGACAGACAGCGCTTCCATATGCCACAGGCCGCAATTGGAACCTGTAAAATTGCAGAGAAAGCCAGAATTTGTAATTACGGCGAGTCCAAAATTATTCGAGCTGTAATGAAATATAACCAATGAAAGTATTTGAACCTATTGTGGTCGCGGATCGCAAGTTTGGTCTAATTTCCTTTGCTTTCAGCGTTCCAGGAGTCGTTCCTCCACGCAGCTGAATACGCCCGTTCCCCCTCAGTGGAGTCCTTGATGCTGTCCAGATAGGACCGGAAGGATTTATTCATTGCCATCACGTCTTTGAAGTGTTCGGCCTCCACAATGATCTCCTGCGTCTGGTCGTAGTCCGAGGCATCTTTAGCCTCATACTCGGCAAGCGCGATGGCTGTTTGAAAGGCATTGCGAATCTCACGACCGTTCCAATCCGTGTACTCAAGCACCTCCGGTGTCTTCAAAAATTTCTTAGCACCATTGCTGATGCGAATTGCCCCCTTTCGCTCGCGGTTGAGCTTCGCAAGAAGACTATCCCAAATCTTTTCACGACGTGCACCATCCAGCGGATCGAAGCCAATAACAGCGTGGACACGAGACATGAAGGCGTCATCAATGTGGCCGACTCTGTTGGTTGTGAGAAACAGAAGACCTCCAAAGTACTCTATCTTTCGTAAGAAGGCTATTGTATGAGGGCAGTCAGTAGAAGTCTCACACACGCATTGCGCCGACGATACATAAACGTACCCGATACGATTGCGTTGCGCTCAATGTCCTTCTTCTCACGCCGCTCGAGGAAGACGTCACACTCGTCTATGAGAAGAATGGCGCGCCATTTGTCGGCCATCTTGAACCACCTAGTCAGTTCCTCTTCTACGGACGCATCTTGGGTGCGTAAATCAGATATCGTGAGGCTGATCAAGGGCTGCTTCTTCCGCATAGCAATCGATTCTAATCTTGTCAGAAGTGCAACATCGTCATCTACGAGGACTCACACATACCGACTGTGTAAGTTTTTCCCACGCCAGGGGGCCCTGTAAAGGCTATTAGCATTGATACTGAGCTCATACTATGAGTAGTGAGTGTACATGTACTTACCGTGAAGAAGGATGACGACTCCTTCACCCTTGTTCTTGATGTAGTCTGCTGACCAGGGCTTCGCAGTCAATTGGCGTTCGGCTAGAGCCTTGATAATTTTCAGCTTCTCTCCACTAACGATCGCTTCAGGTACTTCCTCCTGTACCAGGTCTTGGATGCTTCCCACATGTGCCGAGACTATTCACCGTTAGCAAATTGGTTCCAGGCGACTTGAGCGAGGCAGTGTTCAGTACCCCAGGTCTTCGCTGGAAGAGTGAAGCCAGGTACAACTGGGCAAGTGATAAATTTGTGAGCTGCTGTCACTGGATCTCTCGAGTCTTTCGTGGGATCAAGCCATAGGGGCTGCAGTACACCCGAAGGACCGTTAGTTGGCCTTGCCTGATCAGGTGCAGGTTCCGAGACCAAATCGAAACTCCACTCGTCTTCGTCAAAAGTTGGGTAATTTTGATCACCATAGGCATTGAGAATAATCTTCCCCTTGTACTGATTTGGTGTTAAACTTTAGTTCGTTTAGAATGAGTATTCGCATACCTTTTTCCTCTTCTTGCTCATCAACTCGCCATCGTAATGGGCATATTCATACCCCCTCCAGAGCATGTCACAGATCTGATCACCACGACTCTCGAATTCCTTCTTCCGCTCGCCCTTGGAGTATCTCTCTGGAAAAACATCCAGATGTTCGACCTTTTTCTCGCCTTCAAACTTAGAGATGTCGATGGTATTGGTCACAGTGACCAGTGTTCCGTAAGACCAATGCATCGCGAGGAACCATATCTTCACCTTCCATCGTTCTGGGAGATTGTCTTCTGCGTCCGGGGCGCATTTTTTGGCATCTTCGACGATGCAACCTATCCACTGGTGGTCCCACTTGCAATAACTTTGCGTACCAGGTCGTAGTAGATACCAGAGGTCATCCCAGGTAGTTGTGGGCGAGTCCTGTCCCAGCCGTCTCTGCATGGGTTCGAGCTTACTCTTGACGATTGGATTCAAATATTCAAGCAACACGCCCAAGTGTTCAAGTTTAGTCTGTTGACCATCCGTGACCAATTCCGGGGAATCCTCCCGAGAAGCATAGATCTGGCCCAATTTCTCCCAGTTATGCAGCAGAACTCCGTAAGGTTCGTGGATTGTGATGGTCTCTCCAGTCAGATTTTGCCCAGGATAATAGTCGACGGCGTCGCGGATCAGCTCGGACAAGTACGGGGAATGAACGATGATGCGTGAACTTCCAATCCCTCTTATGGCCTTGTCGCTCATTGTTTCTTTCTTGATTATACCGTTTTCGTGATTCCTTTCGATGGGTTGCTTTATGTCACCCTTGAGCCCAACATTCATGTTGGTGACGACCTCAATTACAGGCTTAGCTTTCTCATCGTGTGGAGGAACTTGGGATGGAAATGGCTCATCCTGGGAGTAGTCAAAGTCCTGACCGTTGTGATTGTAACAGGACGCCGTGTAACGTATTTTCGATGGCTTCCGAGGAGGCTCGGTCTCCTTAATCGTGTCTTGGGGAGAGATGTCTTTGATGCCTGTCGCCTCAGTCTCAGAAATATTTGGCTTTTCTGACGCTGATCCATTCACTGGAAGTTCGTGAGCAGGCATGGCTGTGTCGATGTCTGTGATAGTCGCTATTGCCGACATTATTGCAAGTTCAGGATCTTGTAGGGGATGACGCCCTCAGAGGTGCGTACACCTAATTAGCTGCTACTCTTCAAAGAAATCGAGCGCCGAACCAGTTACTTTGCTCAAACAACGTGCTTTATAACCTTATGATCCCCGGAACGGATGCATGCTGTGCCCCTGCGACATCGCCTGTCTCCGTCCCTAATCCATACCCACGGAGGATGGGTTTCGAGACGCCGAGCGCACCTCCTTGCCCTGCCAGCAGCCCACTAACCCAAAGCGAAAACAATTGTAGACGCAGATGAGATTTGACAGAATGTGGCAGATAATCTCATTGGCTTAGTCCAGGACTTCCACACTGTCAGGCGCGGGGGTAACAGCAGATATACTCTTTTAGGATATTGCCAAAAGACCCAAGTGCCAGCCTGCCTCGATGAAGCCGACAATCTCTGTTGCTTATTGGCTCATATCACTCATGGTTGCCAATACATCGGTATGAGCGGCAAATATCAAGCAGGCTCGCTACGCTAGATAGGCTTACTGCAGAGCGAGTATTGGCACGGTGAGACGGGGTTCTCCATCTCTAAGAATAACAGGCGCCTGACCCTTGCCAGTTTTGATATAGCAGAGGGGTTGTATGACGCCGTCGAGGGAGTCGAGGCTGATCTTTTCCTTGCACACTTGGTACAGATTGATACCTTCAAAACGAACGTCCGGCTTCGAGGCCTATGGGTCCCTCTGTCTCAGCTACCGTTGACATCGAAACCATTGGTGGGGTTTTACGCTGATGCTCATCAATCTTTACGAGCCACGCTTACATGGTACTCTGCGGCATTTCGGGCTACCACCCCGATTTTGAAGCCATTCGCCAGAACATTCTGAGAGCATCTTACTCGCTGGCATTGAACTGAGTGAGGCCTCAGCCTGACCTACTTTTAGCCATTCGATGGCAAACACCAGCAGCAGCTGCCTAGATAATTTGCTTGCACGAATTCACGGCTGACCTTTCCTTATTTGCTGGTAGGTAACACACACTCTTTCTTCTTTATGACCCTCCAACATTTCTAAGAATGCCGCAGGCTCAATTGATTCACTTGGATCTCGAGCGGAAGTAAATCCCACTGCCATGATATCTCAGAGCGCCAAAGCAGCTGAGCCCGCTTTGCGAATGGTGCGTCGTTACACTGACCAGATGCAGCGAGAGAGCACTGGTGGCAACTTACCGCAAGTACATGCAATCAAAACATCAAGTGCCCTCATTCCTGACATATCAATTTTGACATTCTAGACAAGCTCTAGCTACGAAAGTAGACTTAGAGAGACGAGATGAAGCCATTGGTAGAACCATTTCTGAGGTTTCGGCCCTAGAATCGCTAGAAGTTTACCAAGGTACGAGCTTAGGGTAAGGTTCACCAAGAGCTCCTTGCTACTTGTATTTACTTTGTGCTGATAATTCCACGGACAGAGACGTCGAGCTTCATGACACCGTTCTCTTAGCAGGCATATCCCGGGATCTAGAGACACAGTGGCCCAAGGTCGTCAAATCTTTACCGAAAGGCGAGAGGGATAGCATTCCCTCTAAACCCGATATTCGAACGTTTGGCAGACTTTTCAATCAAGCGCGAGACAAGCTCAATGCCAAATCGAGCACAAGATCTGGCAAGATCAAGTCTTGGTTTGTCGGAGTGGCGGAAACTATCAATAGCCACAAATACTTGCTCAAACTTCTACCTGAAGGAGACAAATACACCTCAGTCTTGGTTGGCTCTTTCACACTGCTGATCCAGGTATGATTGTCTCTTTCAAGCACCCACTCACCCGTATTTGTCCACGTTGGAGCAATTGAAGATTGCTAATGAACCATAGGTTGCGGTGACGTACAGTGACACTGCAGAAAACGTATCCGAATGCCTAGAACGCCTTTCAAGCCAAGTGTCGCTTCTCAGAAACGCCCTCGGGGCAAATCCCCGTCGCCAGTATATCAGGTGGCAAGTCAGCAAGTTCTATTGCCACTTGTTCCAATTTCTCGTATTTATCTTGACCGAGTGGCTTTCATCCTCCTCAAAACGCTTCTTCAACAGTTTTGGAGACGGTCTTTTAAGCGCCTGCGATACAGCAGTCAGGAAGATGACCGCCTGCAAAGACGATATCATGCACAGCATTATTCTCATTCAGCAGAGTACTATTGATGACATGAATGCAAAGCTTGACCGGCTCGGAAGTCTTGTCCAGGCCAGTATGGTTGGCGCCGCTGTCGATCGATCTAGACTGTGCGACGCTCCGAGGGTTTCTTCGCTAACTGAAGTGGCGTCATTCAAGACTTTACCACAAAGTCAGGATACTACCGCAAAATCCGGGAGCAAAGAAGATAGCACGTCTGAAGGTTCTAACAAGCGATGTCATTCCAGTAGCGGTAAGGAAATAGTTGAGCCGGAGATGCTTGAAGATGAACTCAGCGACGAGAGGGATCTCTGGACATTGGAAAAAACCCAGGAGTCCCTGAAGCACTTGGAGACATTCCATCAGGTTGCTCATATTGCATCTCTGACGTCCCCATTGAAGCAAGTGTTCGTGAGTGCAGAGAAGCGGGCTTATCTCGTGAAGCTAGTCTCTTCGAGGCGATCGGTAGCTCTCTGGATTGAAGTGCCCGGTGAGTAATCTCCCTTTCTTACAGCATAAAAAGATCATCTGGCTAATTCTCATTAACGTTGAGACGACGACGAACCGCCTTCGCACGCGACTTTGCTAGCAGCCCAAATGGTTCACGATCTCAGTCAGCTGAATATTCCCAGCCTCTGTCACTTCATCCATCGACCTAAAAGCGCATCTTTGGACCGCGAACGGGCGCTCTTAGAGATGGTGTACTCCCTGGTCTACCAGATATCCCGGGCTCTTCCTGAGCATGCGCATTTCGAGGCAGGTGTTGTCGAAAAAGTCAAATCGATTCCTCCGATCCCGCAGACCCGTTCCGAGGTGACCCGCAGCTTAGCTCCAGCGATCAACCTACTTGAGTCCTTGTTGGAATATCTTCCCCCGCTGTTGTTCTGTGTAGTAGACGGGTTTCAGCTTCTCGTGAGAAAGTCGAACTCTCCGGAGATGAAAGCAGCCACCAAGCAGTTCGTCGCTTGTATCTGCGAGGCAGCAACGCGCCAGCTCACAGATCAGCCGTCGATTTTCAAATCGCTTTGGACCACGGATGGGCCCTGCAGGGACTTACAGCAAGCTAGAAAGAGCCGAGCTCTGGCACATTTGGGATACGAGGACGATGAAGAATTTGAGTCAATGGCTCTTCGTGGTAGAGAGATGTCGCCACTGACAGAGGGGTAACCTTTCATTCTGGCCAAATCCATGTCCAATGTTTGGGAAGTGGTTTAACAAATTTATTTGATCGAATTTATTTATGCCTTGGGCTTGATATTCTTAACGGCATGATCAATGGCGTACCCATATCCATGAATTCCCAACCCCATAATAACCGCAACCGCCTTGTCGCTCAAATAGCTGTGATGTCTGAAGCTCTCTCTCGCGTGCGTGTTGCTAATGTGCAGCTCGATGAAGGGGATATCGACGCCCAGCAGCGCGTCGCGGATGGCGACGCTCGTGTGTGTGTAGGCGGCAGGGTTGATGATGATGACGTCGACGTTGCCCCGCGCCGCGTGTATGCGCTCGACGATGGCGCCCTCAGTGTTGGATTGGAAGGATTGCAGGTCTGCGCCGAGAGACTTGGCGTGCTCTTTTGATTGCGTCTCGAGCTGAGAGAGTGTGGTGGAGCCGTAGATGTGCGGTTCCCGGGTACCGAGGAGGTTCAAGTTGGGGCCGTTGATGAGGAGGATTGACTTTGCCATTGCGATTGCTGTTCTGGACTGTTCGTGGTATTTCTAGAGGTTTGTTCGTCTTGTAGGACAGGTGGAACAAGCTTCGTAGGACGATTTGCGAGGGCAATTGATGATGTACAGGTGAGATATCGAACTTGCAAAGGGAATTAGATGCAGGATCCAAAGATTTCAAGTAGGGAGCTGGAAATAAAAACTGGTTAAACACTTTCCCCAGGTTCCCCTCAAATCATCTCCGCGTGGACCGAGTCAAGCCCAAATCGCTCCGTGAATCGGTGCGGGGAAACAAGATGCGGGACCCCGCGCCCCGCGATCCCAACGCGGCAAAGTCTTCATCCGTTCGGCCTCTCACCAACGCACCGAGATGGAAGAGCCGGATAATGTGCCGAATAGCGAAGTGCTCACTAATACGATGGCCTCGTGATTGGCTTAGTCACTTACATGATGTCTTTTCCGGCATATGAGGTCTGCATCGCGGTAGATGCTCATTATTGAACCCCAGGTTTGCAAGGAAACGGTGATCACTAGGCAAATCACTCCTTGAAAACATGCCTGATTTACACAGTCTTCCTGCAGGGTCCCGTCCCATCAACGCCATCCGCAACAATGGGCCAGATCACTTGGTTCTAGAAAGATTGAAGTTGAGAGAATTGGCAGAAGGATGGCCGTCTTACAGGTAAAACATCGCCCAATTTGTGGTCAAATGAGCATCACTTTGGAAGGTTGTAACTGACCAGCATTGATCTCCAGGGACGCCTGCGAATGGGAAAACTTCGAGTCCATCTTCCACCCAGGGGCCTACGTCTACACAACCTGGTCAGGCCGCGTTCCTTTCACAGACTTCATCGCGGCTTCCAAAGCAGGGATGGACAAAGGCGCCTTTATCATGCACCGCTGCCACGGCTGCAGCACAGATATCAACGCCGAGGGCACCAGGGCCGTGACCAAGCTCAAGGCGACGATTACACAGCGCTTCGAGATTGACAGCGTCGAGTTTGACGTAGAAGCTGACTGCCGCTTCTGTTTCTACTTTGAAAAAGTGGGAGATCGATGGGGCGCACGTCTGGTACGGCATTGGTATGAGAAGGATAAGGTGATTCCCTGCAACCCGGCCAAGTTCCCTGAGATTGATGAGGGAAAGTTGGCTGCGTTTCCTCCTGGGTACAAGTATCTCGCGTATTTCCAGGAGCTCACGATGGGAGTCAAAGTTCTTTTGAATATGCCTGGGCATCGGCGTCATGCTGGGACGGTGAACCTGGACAAGCACGACTTACTTTACTGGCAGGCCAAGGAGTGGCTTGAAGGAAATGCCATAGACGTGTAGAGGACTGGCAAATACGATATAATGGTGATCAAAGAAACGCCTTCCCGAAATCCTTTACATGATCTTCAGATTCTATGTCGCAGACTAGGTGGTGAAGTATTCTGCGCAAAACATAGTGCTACACACACACTGCTGTCGGATGGTTGGCCTCACCTTCATAGAACTTGATCTCCTTCTACCTCAACAAAAAGTAGAGACTGAATTGAGGGTAGAATATCCGAATTTCCACCCGAGTTTACTAAGTCTTAAGCTCTGTCTACGGCATAACATTCTATCATCTCTCATTGATCTTAGCCTGCATGGCAGCCTTCATCGCCTCGACTGGTGCTTCTTTCCCAGTCCACAACTCGAATTGGGCATAAGCCTGTTCCTCCAGTACATCAACACCCTTAAATATCGTCCAGCCCGGATACCGTGATGCCGTCTTCATCATACCAGTAACCTGCGGTCTATACGCCATCTCAACCAAAACTCCCTTCTCAGCGCCAAACAGCCCTGCAGGTATCTTCTCCTCGTCAAAGTCATCCGCAGGAACGCAGGCGACAATGACTCTCAAAGGAAGTCTATCCAAGCCATCTCGCTCCCTTTCGGTAGATACGGAATCTTCCAAGGTCTCAAAGACCTGGCAATCAAGGGCTGGGAACTGTTTCACCATCTCGGCCGCCTTCGATATCGTCCTGTTCACAACGAGAAGCTGCGCAATCCCCAACTCCTGGATCGCATAGCAAGCCGCGCGAGCCGCCCCACCAGCACCCAGAACCAACGCAGTCGAGGACCGAAGATCCGATATCCCGCTGCGCTCGATACATCTCCTTATCCCATGCCAGTCCGTATTATCGCCCACAAGTCGCCTATACCGCTTCTCCGGGTCCTCCTCGACGATGACGGTATTCACGGCCCCAATCTTCTGGGCGCAGGGAGTGACTGCATCCAAGAGCTTGCCAATCTGTAGTTTGTGCGGAAAGGTGACTGATGCGCCGCCGAAGTCATTGGCGTTGATGATGGATTCTACCGAGGCGTCGACGCTCTCTGTCTGGTGGATACCGTAATGATGTGGGAGGGCAAGTTCTCGGAATCCTGTGTTATGAAGGGTTGGAGAGAGGGTGTGGGAGATGTTATGACCGAAGATGAAGAAGTTCCTCTTCAGGATGGAGGGGTTTGCTTCCATGGACCCCATTATCTCTCAGGCTTTGGCGTCGTTGACAGCTTGGCTTTGCTAGCTCGTGATCTGAGCTAGAGGTGTGGAAAAGTTTGAGTGCGAAAGGCTTCGTGGGCGGTTTCGGTTCGATATGACTGCAGCTGGCACAGAAATATCCATGCTATACTCAGTAAACCTACACTGCGATGTTAAAATGACACTGCGATTATGGCGCCGTGATATTGATCGTTCATCGGCATCATCGGCCAGAAGCTTGGCGTGTGTCTTGTCAGGACGGTAAAGGTCTTTCCCGCTACCATCAGGCTAGCCACCACATGCGCTTTTTGTGGGCAACGTTTCCTCATGAGAGATATTTCCCACACACTTATTGACTGCACATACCATTCTAACAGTGAATAATTCCATCGACTGCTCATAATCAAGTGTGGTGAAGAAAAGATCATCATTGAAACGCTACGCTCACATGAATGCTAACCTTGCCAAGATTGCTACCCTCTAGTTGGCATCTTGCCCCCTTCTGCAAGCCTTTCCTTATACGCTCGCGAAATCAATTCACGCATCATCTCGATCGGAGGTTTGCGTGCTGTAAAGAGCTCAAATTGTCTCTTACCCTGTTCCGGCAAAACACTTAGGCCGTCGACGGCGATCCACCCCTGGTCGCTCATGCCACGGATCTGCTTCAGGAGAGGTGTTTCCAGAGGCGTATACGATAGCTGCGAATGTATGTTAGCAGTGTCACCTCATTCGATCCGTTTGCAGATATCGAACTTACCTCAATGGCTACTCCGCCTGTAGGACTAGCCAGCCATCCCGGAGGCAGACTCGTATCAGCCGACGACTCCCCGTCGATCTCACGCGTGGAGATACACGATACCACAATGGTTGGAAAGTCAGCGTCGTCTGGCCACTTATCATCTTTGGATTCTATAACACGAATCGTGGGACTGTTTGGAGGAGCGTCAACTTTCGGCGAGGCGTTGACCTCCGTCGGCGTCGATGCCCCGTCGCTCGTGAATCGGTACCCGTTGAAGTGCCTTACAACCTCTTCAGCCGTCCTCGTCGTTCGATTGTGTATAAGCACGGTGCGGACACCAAGCCTCAGAAGCCCGTATATGGCTGCACGAGCCATACCTCCCGCACCCACAACTAGCGCCGTTGTCCTCCTCTTGACGCCGTTGATGGGAGACAGGTTGTGCCGAATGCGGGTGTGTATCCCGATCCAGTCCGTGTTATCGCCATACAGAGCAACGACTGGGCCAGCTCTGTTGCGATCAAGCAAAGACTCAATGTTCCGCGACCGCAGAGGCACCAGCGTGTTGACGGCGCCAATGGCCCTGGCTTCTGGGCTCGTAAAGTCGACAATGGCAAAGACCTCCTTCTTGAAGGGAGCTGTGATACTCGCGCCTCCAAAGTTCTCGTCGGAGATGAGCTTACGTAGGTGATTTAGGGTAGGCTGGTGAAAGATCTTGTACTCGTGCGGCATACCGCAGAATTTGAAGGCGGGGTTATGCATGCTTGGCGACAAACTTGTGGATGCGTTGGTGCCGTAGATGCCAAAGTACATCGGGTCTAGGAGAAAGGAAGAGTAGAGTGCCTTTTGCGCCTCGTGGATCGTCAAGAGGCAATGAGGCGAGCCGCCTGGTGCCAGTCTCCGAAGCAAGTTCATGGTGACCGGCGTGAAGGTCGGGTTCATGAAGCAAGACATGCGGCCGAGGCGGCCTGTGTTGTACGCAATAAGCGGGATCGTCACATCTCTGGGCTTGCCGGCGCCATGCTTGAAGTGCTGAATCTCGAAATTGTCCTTGGTTGACTTTGCCTCGCGACATATTCGGACGACGTCGCAGCCCAGGTCCTCGGCCAACCTCATCTTGTCCTCCAGACCTGGGTTCCGCCAGCCGCTTGGAGAGAGGGAGTTGCAGGTGTAGTGGGCGATGATCTTTGTTGTTCCTTTACTTGCGACTAGATCTCGGATGATGTTCTCGTCACAGCGGAGATCTACGCAGAGGTACTCTGGAGCGAGACGGAGGCCGTGGTCTAGGACGCTAAGGTAGTATGCGGAGGCGTGTTCTTGCGAGAAGCCGCTCATTATGCCAGTAGATGAGGATTCGAGTTCGAGATTGAGGATGATAGGGAGACGAGTGAATCTCCTGACGGCATAGAGCAAGCGACAGACGCGATTCGCAGTTGCATCATCGAAATCGGCCGACGTTGCCTGTAGTTCCCTCACAGGGATGACTAGTTCCGCAACATCGGCTGTTGTCGTGATATTTCGAAGCTCCGCCCCGGCGGTCTCTACCAATGACATTGGCAAGTTGAGAGAATATGTGTATGGCCGGCGCTCCAGTGGTAATGAAGCAGAGCCCTCGGTGGCACGGTACCGTTCCGAGCCCTGCCTGTCGCTTTCCATGATGCTGTCAATGAGTCCGAGAAAGTCGTACTCCACCCGCTTTAACGCAAGAGACCTCGGTGACTGGTGGCCGGGGATAGTGGCGAGCTCGCCCGAGGCCTTCCCTAGGGTATCTGAAATGTTGTAAAATTCAAAGTTGGATATCGATCGATGCGTTGGACCACTAAGTTGAAAGAGTCGTGTGATAGCCTCAGTATCCCATACCTTGAGATGCTCCTTCACGTCTTCCGCATCTCTCAGGACATAGATGATAGGATGCGTCTGTCCATATTCCGCAAGCCACGCCTGCCCCGTCTCTTCCACAGCTCCTGGCCCGCACGCAATAATAGACTTTGTCGGATTCTCGAATAGCATGGCATGCAGAAGCTTCAGCTCTTCCCTTCGATATTCAGCAGTACCGTGCTGTGTCTTGTAACTGGCTCGTGAGAGGCCCGTCATCTGGAAGAATTGCTGGTCCGCGTCGAGTAAGCGGAACCCTAAAGCGCTGGCCGCGATCACGGCGAGAGTTGAGCGGCCTGTGCCCCGGATTCCGACGAGCACGATGGAGGCGTCGGGGGCGTAGCTGCGTCGGCCGGGAGTGAAGCCGTGCCATGATGCGTGTGGCGGTGACTGTTGGCCAAAGGGCTTAGTTGAGTTGACGGCTGGGCCGACCAGCGGTAGAGTCGGCATCGTATTAGAAGCCAGCTTCTCCTTGGAAACAAAGCTTTTTGGCTGTTGAGTGTGGTCCTCGACTCAGATGAGGTTGATAGCACCTCAAATTTGGAGAACCTGGGGAAGACGGCGCTGGCATGGACCACGGTTGGGATAGGATTCTGGATGTATCCACATCCCTCTGGCTTCGCCTGCTTATTCCAACAGCTCGAATAGACATTCACCAAGTAAAGATGTGTGGGGCAATAGCTGATCTCTTAGCTACTCGCAATTCTGACATAGAATGCGACCAGAATTGAAGGGGACCGAGGGAGTGGTTTACCCCGGAGTCGGGGCCCCGGAGATTTCTTCACGAGGCGGGGGTCCACAACGTGGCGGCCGGGAAAGGGCTTACCCGGTCGTCACGGGTCCCTGCGCGTCAACACTATGAGCACGCCGCTTACTACTTCTTGTGTGCTGTACCCTCAACTCTCACAAGTCCCACATCTGCAGCTGTGGCAATCATTCCCATATTTCTCCCACCGATGTGAATATGCTCGATCGAAAGTCACTAGGATATTCATTCTCAGAGGCTTGTTCTTCAGGTGACTGGAGGGCCTTGTCGTGAAAGACGTGGATCGGTGATTAGAGGGAGCTTGCAGACTCATCCAGCTTTTCTCTCGTTCATGTCGAAATGAATACCTGAAATTTCTCAACCCCAACAACTCCCATGTCTAGATATTACACAATTACCTTTCGTACCTTAGATGAAAATGACGCCATTCCATGCTTGTTTTACACATTAAGTGAACACCGCCTTGATCTCAGCGCAACCTCTTAGTTCACTTCCGTTCAACCCCTTGCCCCTTGGGCACCCTAACGAGCCAGTAGAGACCACACGCTGCAACAACATTGAACACAACATACACCCACAAAAGCCCGAAGTTCCTCCATCTATCGTCGTAATTGATCTCGAAAGTCGCAAGATAATCATCCGTGGTATTCATACGACAGTACCCACACGTCTGCGTCGCCGCAGCATCCACCAAATATCCACCAGCGCGCTGAACAAAGGGGCCCAGAAATTCGCCGCACGTCATGTTCATCGGAGTCGGAACAGACACGATCTCCTTTGCCGTGCAAACGACCTTGGATCCATGCAGACAAGTCGACAGCGCACCACTTACGAGATACGTCATGGGACTGACCCAGTACATGAAGTCGCTCCATATGGCGGGTAGGTCGGCGCGAATGACGCCCACGCCGCAAAAAGACATGCAGAGGATGGCAAACAAGCTGGCTGGGATACTGGCTAGGTCTGCTGTTTCGATTGCAGCGATGGCGAGCTGGGAGAATGTGCTGACCCAGAGGAAGAACATCCAGATGAAGAGGAAGACGGTGAAGCCGCGGATCGTGACGTCTTCGGGGGTGGTGTTGCGGTAGAATTTGGCTGGATAGTACCAGCAGAAGAAGAATATGACTGCGGCGATGGTGTTCCAGATCATCTCGATTGCGATGTTAGAGAGGAAGTATGCTGCAGATTGGTTAGCTTCGTTAATGCAGAATGCCCACGATGAGGATGCTTACTGGTCCATCGATAGACGCGAGACGGCCTCTCTCGTACTTCGTAAAGAGCTCTCTGTGGAATGAACATGGGCATGATCTGCTTGCTGAACTCGTTGACAGTCGTGAGGCACATGAAGAAGGCGTAAAGTTGGTTCTGCAGGCCTTGCAAGCTATTGTCCGACATGAACGTGAATCCAATGTAGAGCGCCTAGATAATTTGAGTTAGTACGGAAGGTGAGGTAGGCGGCATGAGGAATCACCAAGAGGAGCATCTTACCAGAAGAATAGTTAAAGTAAGCTTTGACCAGATGTACACAGGAGACCTCCAAAAGTGCCTTGCTGTACGGAGAAAGACATGTTTGAACTGAGTCCAGAACGACGAGGCAAACTCCTGGTCGGCGACATCATCATCTCC